AAGGAGACAACACTAGAAGGACAGCTTGGCCAGCGTCCTGAGATTAGGTACCATTAGGGAGCCTCTGAAACTTCCTGCAGAATATTGTGGTGCTAATGTCTTTGCTCTGGTTCTTTGTGTGTGTGTGTGTGTGTGTGTGTCTGTGTGTGTCTGTGTGTATGTATGAATGTATGTATGTAGAAGAGAGGGAGGTTTTTCTTTTACCGATGAAGGAAAAGTGTCTAGACTTCACTGAGAGTGAAATGGTCAGGAATGCACAGGTCTCCCCACAGGCCACGAGGAAGCAGGTGGCAGGAAGACTGTCTAGGAAGGGAGAGCAGAAGTAGCTCTGGTGGCACTCCATGTCAGGAGTGCCCTGCAGACACTGGGAGGTTAGAGAACGCTCCTTAGTGGAACCTCACTGGACAAGAGTAGAGAGAGTGCAAGCTGGGGTGGACCGCGACCACGGTGGTGCCCAGGGAGGATGGCACTGGACATCTGAAGTTCCTCAGCCTTCTTATATGCCATTCACCTGCTCAGCCGTCTGCATCATGCAGAGATCACAGCTTCCAAATTCTCCCAAGTCCTCCTCTGCCATGAGCATTGAGGCCGAGGTCTGGAAGGCTCCCTACACCCTCAGGTTTCTCCCTGGAAATGGTACAAGGCAGGAAGAGACATTACATTACCCTGTTCTGTGTACTGGGTCTTTTTTAATATTTGTTTATTTATTATGTATACAATATTCTGTCTGCGTGTATGCCTTCAGGTCAGAAGAGGACACCAGACCTCACTACAGATGGTTGTGAGCCACCATGTGGTTGCCGGGAATTGAACTCAGGACGTTTGGAAGAGCAGGCAATGCCCTTAACCGCTGAGCCATCTCTCCAGACCTGTGTACTGGGTCTTTGCAAAGGTCTCTGTGAGCCTTAATTCCCTCATTTTTCAGATGTGAGAATCCCCACACTACATCCTCAAAGCAGATAATCTGTCCAAGAGTCACATAAACCGTGGCATGCCATGGACACATCAGGGGCCATCACTGCCATCTGCAGAAACAGGCGTCGAGCCAAGCAGAGGCATGTACTTGGAGTCCCAGCTACGCAGGAAACTGAGGCTGGAGGAGTGTTTGAGCCTTGGACTTAAAGGTGAGCATGGCTAACTTAGGCAGCCTTCACTTAGAGACAGAAGGCTTAGGCCGGGCCAGAGCTGCAGCTGGTTGCATACAGGCCTAAGCAGGTGGCTGTGAGGACAGGAGTGACCAGACCAGGGAACCAGTAACAGCTCAAGGGCAGACCAAGGTCCTGCTACTTCCTGATAATGGCCTGACAGGGTTTCCCACACCAAAGGCTGTGGTTGTGTTCCGCTCTGTTGGACTCCCAGGTGCCAGTGCCATACAAGTATTGTCCAGACAATGGCTTCCCTCCCACTGTCAGAGTCCCCACATCTGAGGGCCTAGAGTCAGCCTTGTAGGACTAAGGAATCCTCACATGTCCAGGCCACAGCTGAATGCACACCAATCGTCTGTTACCAACAAAAGCCCCGGGAAAGAACTGTTCCCAGTCCTTCTAAACAGCACCCTGGAGGTATACAGCCCTGTCAACGCAATGTCTCATCAAGGGCAGTTCTAATTTACAGATTTACAGATGGAGAATGAAGTTCACCAAGGCGCCTCCACAGGCCACCTCGAGGAAGAGTGGCAGGCTGGCCGGTACTTAAGTTGTATTGTATGCATCCTAGGGGTCCATAGCTCCAGCCCCAGACTTCAGTTTGTTCTCCCAGTCCTTAACTTTTGGAAACACGTGTTGTGGGATATTTGTACACTGTGTGAAAATATACTGCTGTGATTGGTGTAATAGAAAGCTGAATGCCAACAGCTAGGCAGGCGGTATTGTCAGAACTATACCTACAGAGAACTCTGGGAAGGCCAGCCAGACACAGAGGTAGTATTGGCAGTACAGAGAAATGGGGTGACGAGCTACGCAACAGAAACACAGAGTAAAATAAATGGGTTAATTTAAGTTATAAGCCTAAACTACGACTGAGCTTTCATTGAGCTGGAGCCCAAAGAAGCCAGGGCTGCACAGAGAAACCATCTTCAAAACAACAACAACAAACTAGAGCTAAAGCCAGAAGCCAGGAGCCCAACAACAAACAAACAACAACTTAGATTATGGGGGCTGGGTTGGAATCCTATCAGTTAGCTGTTACTGGCTGTGTGGCTGCCTCAAAATCCCTGTTTCAGTACCTGTAATGGGATTCATTCGTTTGCAAGGAAGTGAAAGACTGAAATAATCCTCAACAAATCCACAGCCACCTCCCTTTCTCCTCCAACTGAAAGCCCACGCTGTTATGAGTATCCTGTTCACCTAAATTCATGTCCAGAATCTCCTACACTGACCAGCACAATGAACTCCCTCGTATTCCCGAGCTATCTCATTCACTCAGAGCCAGTGCCTAGGGGTGGGAGGCTGGGGGAAGAGCATGGCCCATCCGGTTTGGTCAAGATAAACCAATGACCTCTTCACTGGCCTTCACTTCTCTACTTCTCCATGACCTTAGGTGATATCCCTCACTAACCCAAACCCTCATCTTTTCTGGATGGCGAGGCACTGGAAGGGCACAAAAAAATACCCTGGTGCTGAATGCAGAGTGGTCCACACTGGCACCCGGACAGCTGGCATGTCTGCCAGCTCATGGGTCCAACATCAACAAAGGTGCCAGAGGCCAGGGCTTTGACTGATATCCTGCTTCTCCACCCTGTGAATGGGACAGGATGGGCTTACAAATATACCCGTAAGTCAAGTCCGTTTCTCTGAGAGAAGTGATCCCTCTGGTACCTCCCCCAACACAGTAGTCCCATCTCTTCTACCCCCATCAGATTCTTTACTAGGCTGGCTCATAGGCTCTGGGATGGACTTTCATGCTCACTGCAATCTTGGTGGCTTTCCTGGGACTGCCTGGCACCTGGAAGCAGGCTAGTAACTTGACTCCCTTTCCAAACTGTCAACGCAGCGGTACCATCAGCCTCATTAAAATTGATGTCAGCATAACTCAACAGGGCTGGAGAAGGCAGGTCACAGAAAAGGGCAGTGTTCAGTGGTTCTATCCAGCCCTCCTTAGGATGCTAGGGTAGTGCAGCTCAGAGAAGCCAGAGATCAGGTTTCACTGTGCTTAGAAGCCTGAATGTGGGCTGTGGGCAAGGTGCTTGTGTAAGCCTGAAGACTGTACCATTATATGGGTTTGGGGAAGTGTGGAAGACAGTAGTTCCTAAATATCATCACTACTGTGGATGGATTCCTGTAGCAGAGTAAACTCAAGGAAAGAACACAGGGTTTGTAGCAGGCCTTTCACCCAGCCAGGCCCTTCCAACAGGCCTCAGCTGTTTCACCTCCACTGGCATTTTACTTAGGAAGGTTAGATCACCACTGCCCCACCGGGGCCAGCCAGACCTGGCTATGCACTCCAGCACAGCTTCCACCAAACACATCTTTTTCTTTCTCCAACTGCTGGAATTAAACCCACCAAGTGAAGTCCTTCATGTAGGCAGCAAGTGTAGAAATACAGTCAGCTCCATGACAGTGTCCCTATAAAACTTGCTTCCTACAACAAATATTCTTCAGTCAAGGGTGGCTGAGCCTTAAATCCTATCCAAAAGAGAACCATGTCAAAGGCTCCTGGCAAACACAGTTTTAAAAGACAAAAACCAACCCCTGGCTTAAGAATTACCCAAGCACCTGAATGGCCACATTACAGAGGCCAAAGCCAGCAACCAGTGACTGTAGGAGAGCCTTGGCTGGTGATGTCTCCAGCCTCCCCCCTCAAGCCCTCAAATTCCCTAGTCAAATCTGCCTGAGGTTTTCTCAACACGTCCTCCTCTATTTGTCCTGGCCTCCTTCTTGCCCAGCTAAGGGACCCGGCGTATCCTCAACAGACATTGTCACGTTCTATGAACGTCTAAAAGAATCCAAGTTACTGTTGTTGGTATTTGATAAGGTATGTATAAACCATGTCTGTCTGAATGTATGGAGGTCGGGGGGAGATTGTGCACATGGAGGCCAGAAGAGGGCATCCAATCCAAATGCTAATAATTGCTGAGCACGCTCTATTGCCCCAGACAACATCTAGGCTGAAAAAAACTACTGAAAAATATACTGAAAGTTTACTATGCAGGGAATAAGGCCTTGTGGTTAAGGAAAGTCATTCAGGTCCAAATCAGAATTTCCTTTGCAAAAGATAAAAGTATCTTATCTTAAATCATGAGACTTGGATTTTAAAATATCTCATCTGGAAGCTCCATTGACATTGTGACTTTTCTTAAATTATAAACGCAGGTTCTAATTTTTCATTATCACTTAAATGGTACAGCTAGACTCACGACACCTCCAAATCAGTAAGTATCTACCCAAACCCACATCACCCACACTACCTCTTAGCCCCCGTAAGAGCAGGGAATATGGGCACCTTCACAGTGAGCTGAGCACAGGACTTGCTCCCCAGCTCAGGTTAGCCAGTCTAGCATACACACTCTAGCACGGCTTGAAGCCCAGTATTTACCTAGATCCTCTTCACCTGTGCCGACGCGCCAAGTCATTTTTAGGCTAAATTTTAGACTTAAAAGGCTTTCCCCCTCAACTCACGTACTGGTTTGCAGAGCTCCCGACTATTCAGTTGCAGTACTGTTTTTTTCTGGTTCTGGGGCTCTAAACCAGGACCTTACGCACACCAGGCAAGTGCTCTGTCATTACTCCAGATTCCAAACCATTTTAAAGTAACTCACTTCCGTGGTCATGATAGAGGATTCAACAGAGATGGTCAAAGATTCTGGACTTCCTCAAAGCTAGAGCACAGACCCCAATCCTGTTCTCCAGAGACAATTTAGAAACGTGAGAGCACAAGTAGGCTTTACCAAAGAGTAATGCATTTATTTTACTTCATCTTAGAAAATACGTTTTTTTGAGCAGTCATCACATAAAATGTCCTACTGTCTTAAAAAAAGAAAGAAAAGCATGAGAAAACAGACCCAAAATGTTAAGATTTTATTTACAAAGCTTTTCCTTGTTGTACAGAAAGTAAAAATGTTGTTACAATCGCAGTGTAACTGGCAGCCAGGACGGTCAACTCACCAACCACAGCTGTCACGATACAGCAAGAGTCTTACACGAAAACCTAACAACGTTTACAATTTTGTTGGGGCAGAAGTCCCCAGGCTTGGTGGTGGATTACCAAGGGGCTAAACGGAGGAAGGCGGAATGTCTTGGGAACTATTCTTTGGCTCTTTGGGTGGGGTGTCCTGGGGTCGTATCACAGCTACCTTTTTAAACAGCTACCAAATCCATGAGCAGTCCAACCAATACTCAACAGTTCTGGTTCTTGTAGATTGTTTGGGGTCTCAATCATCTTCTCCTTCATCGTCTGTTTCCCTCTTTCTCTTTTCACCTTTCCCACTTTCTTCTTCCTCTGTAATAAAATAATTAGCTGTGAGACCATGTAAAGGCATTCTACCTGGGACTCTCTGGTGATGTGGGAGTCCCCTCTGTATTGTTGGTTAATAAAGAAACTGGCTTGGCCTGAGAGGGTAGAACAAAGCTAGCAGGGGAAAACTAAACTTAATGCTGGGAGAAAGGAGGTAGAGTTCAGAGAAGCCATGGAGCCTCTGCCAGAGACAAGACATGCTGAAACCTTGACGGTAGGCCACGAAACTCGTGGTAAAATATAAAATAATGGAGATGGGTTAATTCTAGAAGAGCTAGCTAGCAATACACTTAAGTAACTGGCCAAGCAGTGATGTAATTAATAGTTTTCTGTATGGTTATTTCAGGAGTCTGGGCGGGAACGCACTAGCAACCTCTTACAATGAGAGAAAGAGAGAAACAGAGAAAGAACATGCAAGCACTAACTCATCCAATTTTTGACTGAGAGGAGAAACAGAATATATGCATCAGACCCACCTTCATCCTCATCTTCATCCTCATCTTCTTCATCTTCATCAACTTCACCATCATGTCCAAATTCTTCTTCCTAAACAAAAGAGAATAGCTCAACACCACTGTATGCTGCTAAGGCTCAACTGGCAGAGGAGAAACCCTGGCAACCTAAGGTCAATCACTAGAATTCACACAGACAATATGGGAGAATTAAAGAAGAAAACAACTCTCAAAAGTCCTATGTCTCCATGCAGGTTGTGTTATGGGTGTGCACCCGCGTGCACACCCACACACCCACAGCAAAAACAAAATCAGGCTTGATGGCTTACAACTGTGATTCTAGCAATTGGATATGGAGGCAGGAGGATCAGGAATTCAAGGCTAGCTTGGTGTTGTGGGAATCCCCTCTGTATACTGTGATTACCATTAACAAATAAAGAAACTGCCTTGGCCTGTTGATAGGGCAGAACTTAGGTAGGCAGGGGGAAAGTGGAACTGAATGCTGGGAGGAAGAAGGCAGAGTCAGAGAGATGCAATGTATCCACTGCTGGAGACAGACGTGCTGAAACTTTGCTGGTAGGCCACAACCTTGTAGTGATGCACAGATTAATAGAAATGGGTTAAATTAAGATGTAGGAGTAGGCCAATAAGAAGCTAGAGCTAATGGACCAAGCAGTGATTTAAATAATATGGTTTCTGTGTGATTATTTCGGTTCTGGGTGGCCAGGACAAACAAGCAGCCTCCTCTAACAGTCTGGGCTACATAAGCGCTCACTCACCAATCCCTCATAAAAAAACAAAAATGCAAAGAGGAATATACTTTCAGATAGTTGTAACATCACACTGGGGAAAAACTTTTTACATACTTGGCTGCAAAGAGATACTAATTTTTTTTAACAAGCAAAAGTCTGGAGAGATGGCTCAGAAGTTAAGAGTCTTGAACATTTGATTCCCAGCACCCACCAGGTAGCTCTCGTCTGACTTCAAAGGGCACCAGGCATGTATGTAATATATAGATATATATGCAAACAACTCATACAATATACATTATACATTTGGGCTCACAAAAGTGCGCACACACACACTTGGGGGTGGGGGGAAGAGTCAGGAAAAGAGCACTTTCAAGGCTCTGGCTTCCTTCCTTCGATTAACATTACATCCTAACCACAGTTTCCCCTCCCTCGAGGCTCTGGTTTCTTTTTTCTTCCTTCTCCCTCCCCCTTGATTAATATTACATCTCTACCACAGTTTTCCCTCTCCCCTAAGGTTTTGATTTGAAAAGAAAAAATGCCCTTTAAGCCAGGTACTTTTGTACACACCTGCTATCCCAACCATTAAAATAGGATGGGGGCAGGCAGGTGGTCAAACAGTTTAGTCTATCCTGAGATACTAATAAGCAAGACCTAAGTTCAGTAAGTAAAATAAAAGTATTTTAAAAACATCAGTGTTCAGAAATAAGCAATTCAGGGCTGGAGAGATAGTTCAGAGGTTAAGAGCACTGACTGCTCTTCCAGAGGTCCTGAGTTCAATTCCCAGCAACCACATGATGGCTCACAACCATCTGTAATGAGATCTGGTGCCCTCTTCAGGCAGAACATTGTATACATAATAAATTATATAAAAAAAGAAATAAGCAGTTCATTAGGTAAGCTCTAATTACCCTACCTTGTAAGTTAAAATGGAAATTTTAATAAATGTTTTTACAATCTTACATTGCAGTATTGGTTTGAACAGATTTTTCCCCCCTGAATGTGGGGTAGGGGTGTAAACCAGACCCTATGCATCTAAGCATAGAATTTTAGCCCAGGTTGTCTTGAACTTGTGATCTTCCTGCTTCTGCCTAGGTTCCGAGATTATAGGCATATACTCTTGTCTTTTTTTTTTTTAAAGATTTATTTATTTATTATGTAGTATTCTGCCTGCGTGTATGGCTGCAAGCCAGAAGAGGGCACCAGATTCCATTATTGATGGTTATGAGCCACCTTTGTAGTTGCTGGCAATTGAACTCGGGAACTCCAGAAGAGTAGCCAAGGCTCTTAACCTTGGTGCCATTCCTCATTTCTCCAGTCCTAAGCACACATTCTTTTAGAAAACTCAGCCATTTGATGCTCTTCCAAGGGAGAAGAACATTTAACTTTGAATCACAAAGCTACATCCTTTCTTTGGTAATGTGAAAGGCATCTCAGACATAAGTGCTGTATCTAGGCAGCACTGCCATTGTCTGTCAGCCTTTGCCTTTCTTTCGACCCCACCTTTCTCTGTCTTTACACAGAAGGCAAGAAAACAGTTACATTTACCTCCCCACTGACTTCATCTTCATCATCTTCTCCTTCTACATCCTCATCTTCATCTTCATCCTCTTCTTCATCCTCCTCCTCCTCTTCACCGTCCTCATCTTCCTCTTCATCTTCATCTTCTCCTTCTGAAAATAGTCCAAAGGAGCAATTATTAAGGCTGGGCACACCTTTAACTCCAGTACTTGGTAGACAGAGGCAGGCAGATCTCTGTGAGTTCGAGGCCAGTCTGGTCTACAGAGAGAGTTCAAGGCCAGCCAAGGGCCACACAAAGAAACACGGTCTCAAAAAACCAAAAGAAAGAAAAGAAGAAATTACTGAATAACCTTGATGACTCATAGGGCCTAAATGAAAAGGCCAGAGAGCCCAAAGTTGCCCTACGTTAAAGCTGGTAGGCTCCACAAACACCAGGGGCTACTTACAGCTTCTACTAGCCCTCAACCCTAAAATAAAAAATTTCAAACTTCTTCCTACTCTTACTGAATGAAATCTGCCTCAATTTCATATAGGAGGAAGGCTTTCTACGTCTTTCATGACTGAAAGCTCCTAGGTTTTTGTTTGGTTATTGAAAGAATGCTGTGATGGTATCATCAAGTGCCCAGGATAGTGGAAGGAAGACCAGGAGTTTACGACCAGCTCCAGCTACCCGAGACAGCCTCAACACCCCTCCAAACAAAATAGCAAGTCACCCTAGGAATGGCACCTGAGAGCAGTTGTCAAATCAGGACCCCTGCAGGCTTAATCCAGGTCATACAATAGTCGCGGATTCTAGGTTCCCAGTTTCCTCCCTACCAGCCTCCAGTTCACTGTGGTCTCCTGCCTGCCGTCCTTCCCGTTCCGCGTGCCCACCCTACAAACTCACTTTCAGCCCCTACTTTGACAGAACTGGAGCTCTTTACCCCAGCTATGGGCTTTTATGGTTAAATGCACCAAGAGTTTATAAATAAGGAAACAGGAACACAGGCACACATTCTGAGCAATGCATGGTCAAGACTGTGGAAAGGTAGAAGTCAGGACACAAGATGCCCGCCCAGTCTACCCACCTTCATCCTCTTCTTCTTTGTCCACACCATCCACCTCTGCATCTGAGTCGGGGGCTTCCTCTACGCCATCCACCTCCACATCCGAGTCAGGTGCTTCCTGGTCCTCTCGGTCATAGCCATCCAGATAGGACAGCTGGGGCAGGAGCTTGAAGACACTCTCTCTGTAATCGTTCAGGTTAGTGACCTCACAGCCAAAGAGATCCAGGCTTTTCAGACAATCCAATTTTTTCTAAAGCAAAGAACCAAAAAAACAAAAACAAACAAACAAAAAAACAAGATTCCTAAGTCAAAAGAACATGTCACCAAACCATTTTCAAGAGGTAAAAGTCTAGGCTCCCTATTAATTAGCTGCTACCCATTCATCCCTGGCTCCCCTAGAGAACAGTATCTTTTCCTGGTAGCAATAGGTGTGACCTAGCTGAAAAACACACAGGACCCACCCATGAGCAGCACTCGAGGATGGAGCGAAACCTGGGATGAGGTATGCCAGCATGGGCAGAAGGGCACACAAGAGCTTAGATTTCACCAACAGAAAAATCACACCCCTTTTGTCTATTTAAGATCTTTGGAAGAGGTTAATATTACCAGACTTTTTTTAAAATGTAAACTTAAAACATCATCACATACAGCCTGCGGCCTACTAGACTGCAGGTGACTTTCCTATATGTGATACACAGACAGACACATGTAACTTTGGAGGCTAGGCTATTATGTCAGGGTCATCATCAGCTACCTGAGACCCCTTACTCAAAAAGTTCTGGATGAGGTAAGCACTAGCAAATCCAGCAGTGACATTTCGCCTTCAAAGTTACTGCCACACTCACACTACCTCCAAGAAATATGGATACAACATATGTGCTTCAGGACTGAAGGCACCTCTCTAATTCTCTGCTTTCAAAGTTGACTCCCTTGCTATTTTTGTACACTAATGCTTTGTTTTATAGACGCAGTCTCTCTCTCCATATGGACCTGGCTGGCCCTAAACTCAGAGATCACCTGCCTGCACCACCATGCGCAACTATAAAATAAAGTCTTACTGCCACACAGCATTCATCTGCTCTTCTATCACACACCTACTGCCAACCGAGCTCCAACCGAGCTTCATGTTTGCATTATCTGACTCTCAGGGAATGGGCTGCTGACCCTTATAGAAGACTCTCCATCCTCTCATCAGGAAAAGGCTCACAGAATTTATTCTCAGAGGAGTCTCTGGAACATATTACCAGGGAAGACCCAGCAGCAGGATTACAGGCGGATGTTATACCCAACCATCAAACAAACAATATACAGTGATTTAAGATTGGTCATCAAGGGGGGCTGGAGAGATGGCTCAGCAGTTAAGAGCATTGCCTGCTCTTCCAAATGTCTTGAGTTCAATTCCCAGCAACCACATGGTGGCTCACAACCATATGTAATGAGGTCTGGTGCCCTCTTCTGGCCTGCAGGAATACACGCAGACAGAATATTATATATATAATAAATAAATATTTTTTAAAAAGAGTGGCCATCAAATACTGTGCTTATGAAAGCCAACTCCCAAATGTCTCAAGAAGTCAGGTTCAGCCTTGCCAGTTCTAGGGGTGAGTGATTTTTTAAGCAGACAATTTTTAGATTAGGTTTCTTACCAGGTAGGCCCTGACCTCAGAAACCCAGGTATAATTTCTTGCCAAAAAGGAAAAAATGCTGTAATACCATCCCAAATAACCAGCGCAGGCTATTTACTGGCTTTCATTTTGGAGACAGAGCCTTTCTATATTGTCTAGGTTGGCCTAGAACTCCCAATCCCCCACACCTCAATCTCAAGAGTAACAGCCGACTCTATATCACATAAGACATAAAAGAAAAATCAATTAAAAAGCTTCTAGAAAGGTTTACTGTAATGTGCTCCCTTCTCCACCCTTTCCCGAAGTGTATGTTTCACCATGTAGCCTTTGTCTCAGTCCTCTTGCTTTGGCCCCTCAGGTAGCTGGGACAACAGTATACATCACCACCCCTGGATAGCCTAAAATTATCGACTTAATGGACTGGGCCACTGGTGAAACTACTGTACAGGGCCATCAATGCCTTCCTGTTTCTGGATAGCATGAATCTTAGATGTCTGACAAAGCACCCATTATCAAGTAATTTGGACATGTCATACAGTACGTATGAAATGTAGGAAATGAAATATAAGCAAGTTGACAATAACAAATCCTACATAACTACAGTCCTCTGTAGATTGTTTAAAGCAGTAAAACTGTACCTACAGCCCAGTAGGCTCAAAATACAGATTATACAGGATCCCAACATGATGTGTAAATAATGCTAAAAACTTAACAAGTGTACCATGCCGGAAACTTGATCTAAGCTAATAGGCTAGCCATAATAAACATTAAACATTTTATTAACAATAATTTTGCTTGCCTTCTTAGAATTTAGAAGGGCTTTGGGGGATGATTTGGATGGCCCAGGTCTCTTAAAAAAGGTGTCCCAGGAAGTTGGAACTGATGCCTTCTTTGTCTCTCGTTAATGTCCCTGTAGCAAGCAGAGGCATTCACAATCATTGCATTGCCTGTCAAAACTGGGCTCAACGCAGTGTTCACAATGTGTGGTGATGAGGATGAGGATGGTGTTTCCCCACTCTAGAACATTTAGAAGTCAACACTGGACCCAGAGTCTCTCCCCCTTTACCTTTCCTACAGATTTCCTTTATTCCAGGTGAGAACCAGGAGGTCAACCTGGGGCATATGGAGCTACGGTAGCTCTGCCACATATTGTCGGTTCCCTCACTGTAAAGCAAGGGCCACACTACTTCTATTCGCTCTGTAGAGACTTCTCAACAGCTAGCACAGGATCCACAGGGCCCCAAGTATAACACATCCGCTACAGTAGTACAGTATAGCAACAAAGATTACTTCTCCCGTCTTGGGACCATAATCTGTTACAGCCCAGAACAAGAACCCTTAAGGAAACAATCCCTGCACAATATCTGTCTGTGCTATGCTTCGCTGCTAGTAAAACCAACACAGGATTCCCAGGGGAATTCAATTTCCAAGAGAATCAGGAGCAGCTGGTTATTCAACAAGGAAAGACACTTTCTGGTCCTCTGTTTAACACAAACACAACACACCTCTCTATAAGGGGTGCTAGTCCTCAGCTTGGCACAGCTCAGAATAAAGAGATCTGCCACCAAACAATAAACACAGGCTTGGCACAGACCATGGGTAAGTGTTAATATGAGCATTCCTTTGGGAATTTTATTTTCTTGAAATTTAGGTATGGAATCAATTTACATGTAGAAAGAAAACGGTTCCCAAGGGCAATGAAAAATTAAGTGAATTTGGATTTGATCCTGCCATTAAATCCAAACAATTACTTAAGCTTTCTAAACCCAGTTTTCTCTCTAAACAGGACAGCCATTTTCTCTTCCCTGGGTTACAAGCCTTCAATGAACAAATACTAAATGTCCTTGGATACAACAAAGCTTATAACTCAGGAAACAGGCTGCTCTACACAGAAAAAAAAATGAAACTAGCAAAACTGAGGGAGTGGGAGCATCTAGTGATGGATAGCAGAAAAGATCTGCAGAACAAGGGTAAGAAATCAGCTCTAAACACCTACAGCAAATAGAAGCTCAAACATGAATATATAAATAAAGAGACTTAGTAAAATGATTAAAACTGCTGCAACATTTTCAACTGTAGAAGGGAGGGGGAAAAACCTTTAATTCTAGTAGGGCATCTTCACTGAAAGAAACTACAGCCTGTCTTCCACCAAGGTATCTAGAGAGTAGGTTTTTGTTTGTTTGTACTTGTCAGGGTTTCCTTTAATTCAGGCTCAAGCTGGCCTCAAATGGTGGATGACCTTGAACTTTTGATCTCCTGGGAGTTAAGGCAGGCACCAGTGTGAGGTAATGAATCCAGAGCTTCATTCATTCTGAGCAAGTACTTCACCAACTGAGCCAAACCCACAGCCCCAAACATAGCATTCTTCCAGTCAGATAAAGCCCTTTATTTTTTATGACACCTCTGTCTAACTCTCTCACAGTCTAGTCTGAGCTGAGGGGCCGCCTCTCTCCTGTTATTAACCCTGCCTGCAATCATTTCAACAATTTTCCAGTCCAAAAAATACAGTGTTTTCTTCCCGATTGTCCTGCGCTCTTAAGAAAGGCAGGAAACACTGTCTTCTCTGCTCAGTTTGCTTAAGGCCATATACCAGGTTTACAACCCAAAGGGCACTTAAAATTTGGTCTCTTTAGCTAACCTACAGTAAGACTGAAGATCTGTTTCTACCCAAAACTCTGCAACAGTAATATAGGGGTACACAGATCACCAATCCTTAAAGCTGCCCTTGACTGTGCTGAAATGTCACCTAAGACAGACAGTTCTGTTACAATACAGAATAGCTTGGCCAGTCTAGTGGGAAAAATTAGGAGACATGTTTAAGGCTACATATGTATTTTAAAAAGGATTAAAAAAATAAAAAATATAAAAGTCTCTACTGCAAGATTCCATTACAGTTTCAGTCAGAGGAGCAAAGCCCCATGAATACACCTTAGAGACTGTGACCTTTAAAAGTCACTCTATGAAGAGTATAATACTAGCATTTTTTAGCCTATTATATTTCCCAATCATTTCTCTCACTAGAAATATGAAAATGAATATGACAACAACCCATTCTCTACATTCTCAATTACCTACCAAAGGTTCCAAGGTGCTGATATCTTTCAGCTTATTTCCACTTAGGTTCAGATGTGTGAGGCTCGGCAGCTCCTCCGCTAGTCTGTCCAGACCGCCGAAGATTCTGTTGTCACTGAGCTCAAGCTAAAAGGAAACACATGCACAGAGAGATCACTCACTACTGCACTGAGGTAAAAAGCAAATACCTGTAACAAAGATCACATCTGCAACCCCACAATTCAGTAGATGGCAAGGCAGGAGGAACCAGCGTTCCAGGCCAACCCACGAACCAAAGCGACCCCCCTTTCCCCTAACAAAATAAACAATAGCAGTCAAACTACAAGGGCTGGTGAAGTGACTCCTCAGGTAAAGGCTGAAAGATCATGTCCAACCCTGGGACCCACATGGTGGAGAACTGACTCCCTTGGTAGTTCTCAGAAGTCAACACATGTAGCACGTAAAGAACTGCTTCCCCCAAAGCCTTGTTTGTTAGATCATATACATTATTTTATTTGATTAAATCCAAATCAAGTAGTTTATAGATACTACCAACATATGGGATGAGTGAAGCAGACACACCAGAAGGTGGGAAGTTTTTAAAAAAGACTTTGTGTGCTTTGTATAGGCACAAGGGGCATGCAGTGCCTATGGTGGCTAGAAGAGGGCACCAGATACCCCGTACAAGGCCATGCAATCCATACCGAGCACTGAGTATGTTATGGCAAGGGGGGTTTGTGAAACCTGATCCCCAGAGGCTTCTTTGTAAACCTGGCTCTAGCCTCCACAGCAAGTTACTTTTAGTTTCTCAACTACAGGTACAGGCAACAGCGTTCTCACTGAAGTGTCACACTAAAAATTGCCAATGTCTCAGAGTACAAGACGTAGAGATTAGGTAAGGGAAAGTCTTTTGCAGACAACACTGCAGTTCGGAGCAGGTGGTGTCCTTCCAGAAGATGGAGTTCAGTTCCTAGCACCCATGTTGGAATCCAATCACTTGTAACTCCAGCTCCAGGGGATCCAGTATCTTCTTCTGGCCTCCAAGAGCATCCCCCACCCCCATACACATAAATAAAGACAGGCAGACAGGAAGGACAGATACCCCAGGCCACAAAGATGGCTCCAATTTTTCATACTGGTGATAAGATAAAGGTAGCCAATCATCATGTAGTGTTTGGGGTGCTGGTCACTTTACAGAGCACATCACCTCACTTGCTCTTACAAAAAAACTCATTCTTTTGTTTACAGGTAGGGAAATGAACTGCAAAACTGTGACTGGTCCATGATCAAAGTTTGCACACGGACTCCACATACTTGAGTGGAGTTCAAGAACTCCTGGTCTACTCACTGTGCCACAACATACAATGCCTGGTATGCTAAGTGTGGAAACTTCATGTGGCTGGGCATGGTGGTGACAGAGGCTTGGAATCCACCTACCCAGGAGGCTGAAACAACATGTCACCCTATGAAGCTTAGAGAGATCTTGTTTCCAAGTTTTAAATTGGACAAAAGATCTGGGAATATATAGTCAGTGTGTAGAGTGCTTGTCTAGGATTCCTGAGACCCCTGAGTTCAATCCCTGTACACAAGACAGAACTACCAAAGAAAACAACAAAAAAGGAAAACCAATTAAAAAAAAAATCAACTTCATGAAATAAAGGCTTTGACACATCATGAAATACTCTACTTGACACAGAGCAATGACCCACAATTTAGAATTCTAGTCTAGGAGGGTAGGAGAGAGATGGCTCTGTAATAAAGGCACATGTGACAAGCCCGAGGACCTGAGTTTTGAGCTGTTCTTTGACTGACATATGAATGCTGCAGTAGGCGCCCCACTCAAGTAAACCCCTGCTAGTCTACAATCAATAAAGATTCAAGCATTGGCTCTCATAGTTTCTGGAAACCATTAATACCAGAAACTTCCTTTCTGTGTTTAGCCCATATGGCTAGAATATCACATCTTCCTTCAAGAACAAACAAGGCAATCTAAAGCATTTACTAGCATAACATTTAAAACCATTTATATATCTTTTTTTTAGTACTTGTTTCTTAACATTCAACCTGCCTGCCTTTTAAATAAGATCACCTTCTCAGTCTGTTGAGTGATCCCTGTTTAAAGTTTTCAGAAAAAGTCCAGTATGGTGCAACTTGCAATCAATCTCAGCATTTGGGAGGCTGGGGAAGGAGGACTGTTCTAGAGTTCATCCTAGCTGAACAATGAGACCCTGTCTCAAAGAACCAAACATATGAGAAAGATTGAGTAAAACCACCGTGGTGCTTAATCTCATTGCTGACTCAACAGATTTGGAATTAGTGAGGGACACACTGCTCTCTATTGAGGTTTTCCAGAAGGCTAACAGAGGGATGACCACGATGAACATATGCACCCAATCTCATGGCCTGAAGCTCAAACTGAGTCAAACGAAGAATCCAGGTCTCTTCTCCCAACTGCACACACCACATCAACTGCACTGTACCCCACCCACCACACTTCTTCACCATGACTGTGCCCTCAACCTGAGCCTGTAGAAAATCCTTTACACCGTGTGAATATATGTCACTGTGATTGGTTTAATAAAGAACCTGACTGACTAGGCAGGAGAGCCAGACTAAAAGGATGCTAGGAAGAAGGGCTGAGTCTGAGAATCAAGAGGATAAGCCATAAGACACAGAGTAAGCATGATGGGAAGTACCTATGTGAGGTAAGTGAGCCTTGGGGCAGCACACAGATTAATAAAAATGGATTATTTAGTTAGCAAAAAACAAGCTTTGTGTGGTTATTTGGGAGCTAGCAGTCCCAACAAAAACCTTCACTACATGAGCCCTAATGAGCTCTTCTTGATTTATCAGGATGGTAAGAACAAAACACAAACTTACAGGTCAAATTTATACAGAACAGATGCTAAAATCTTAATAAGGGTCTCCAGATGACCCATCTTTCCAATGTCACTCACAACCACACATGTAAATTCTTAAATGGCTTTTAGGTTTTGTGTATGAGCGTTACTTGCAGTGTATCTGTTTATCACGTGTGCCTGGAGCATTTGTGAAGCACATCCCTTTTTCTTCAATAGTGCAAAAGATTCTTATTTGACCCTAGCACAAGCGTTCTGTGGCCACATCTACCAATAAACAGTACACAGGAGCAATGCTTCTTCCACCTCTTTGACAAGACAAAACTTTTCCTAAGCATTCTGTCCTCTCTGGAAAGTACTAGAAGGCAAGAGAGGGTGACTACAGGGGAAGCAAACCTACTAACAATGGCCAAGACCAGAGAGAGTGCCCAGACACAGGAGACAGTAGCTGGTCTGGGACCCACAGTCCTTTACATGTTTTTACCTCCTAAGAGCAGAATTACAGGCAGATACCACATGATGGTCTGGCCTGTAGCAGGCTTTGTTACATACATAGGACTTTTCTAGTAAACCACAACACATTTTAAACTCTCTATTATTAAAAATTACGTGACAGGGCTAGATAAATGATTCAGCAGTTAAGAGCATTTGCTATCCTTGTAGAAGTTGGGTTCGGTTCCCAGCTCCCACAGGAGCAGCTTACAATTGTCTGTACTCCTCCTCCAGATCTGATGCCTCTGAGGCAATACATAAACACATGCACACCCCACGTAGTAAGGCAAGTCTTCACTTTCCTTTTCATCAGCAGTTATGTTAAAGCATGGAAAGAGAGAGGCTCCTGGGACTCCTGAGCCAGAGCCTAAGAGCAAACCTAGCTAATGGAAATAAAACTTCCAACAACTAACCAATTATTTATAAAGTAATTCATAATCTAGCAGGGATTATTTCCAAAGCACTGCTGCAACTCTGCATGTCAAGTGTAATAAAAACAGGTGATGAAACCAACCACCTTAGGAAGATAACCTACAACCTCACGGTGCCACAGTTCACTAAAGCCCGTGCTTCTGCCACACAGCCCTAACCTGTACATTTCTCCTTTGCAATGGTTCCTTTAAAAATTAAAGAGCACAGCGGTTGTGACACACACCTTTAATCCCAGTACTCAGGAGGCAGAGGAATCTCTTGTGTGTCAGAGGCCAGCCTGGCTTACATGTAAAGTTCCAGGACAGTCAGAGCTGTTACACAAAGAAACCCTATCTCAACAAACAAACAAACAAACAAACAGACAGACAGAAAACTTACCTTTTTCAATTTCGGTAGCTTGGGGAGATCTGAAACTGAGAACAAGCCTACACTTATTAAACTGAGGAACTCTAGGTTCACAAATTCATCCGTTAACCCCTCGATTTTTCCATCGTTCGCTTTGCAATTGTCCAAGACAAGTTCTCGAACCTGTGGACACAAACAAAAAGGGAATAAGCTTTAAAAAGAGTAACAGAAGACAAGATCAGTCCTATAGTAGTAGCATAGTAAGACCCAAAGACCACTGTTAATTCAAGCCAATTAAAACCAAAACCAACGCCCCCCACAAATGGTGAACACTCCATATCCCAGACAGACACCCAATTCTCAGAACACAAGTGACACTATGTCCTAGTCTTTCCACAGCTGGGTCTTGAAGGGGTTATGTTCACGTTTGAGTATGGAGTGAAGAAACCCTCTCAGACTCTCTTAAAGCCCAGGAGGGGCACAACCACAGGGAGAAGAACACTCTACTTCACCATCAAGATCACCACGGCACTAAGCACTTGATCAAGGAGCCCGCTGCTCTGAAGCACAGTAACTGACCTTACCACCACCCAGCTTTTGAAGAGGTTCCCTGCCAGTTTTTTTCTTATTTTGTCTTATTTTTCGAGACAGGGTCTCTCTCTATAGTCCTGAAAGAGTTCCACCTGCCTTTCTCTGCCTTCTGAGTGATGGGATTAAAGGTGTACTTCACCATGCTTAGCCTTTCTTTGCCATTTTCAAAGAAAAGTCACAAATAAATCTTGGCTAAGGATTTTTACACCTGCACTTTCCAGTTTCAGATCTTTTGTTTTAGCCAGAGTTTCACTATGCAGTCCAGTCTGAGCAGAACTCAGAGACCCAACTGCCTCTACCTCCTGAGTGCATGCCCAAATAAGATTTTGATTCATTTTCTGTGTAACAATGCAATTAAAATGTCATATTAAAAATGACATTAATGGCCAGGCAGTGGTGGCGCATGACCTTAATCCCAGCACTCAGGAGGCAGAGGCAGGTGGATCTCTGTGAGTTCGAGACCAGCCTGGTCTACAAGAGCTAGTTCTACGACAGGCTCCAAAGCCACAGAGAAACTCAGTCTTGAAAAACCAAAAAGACATTAATATGTCCAAAATAAGAGGGATGAAAGAGTATGTTACACTGCCTCCCAGGTAGGGATAAAAATCGCCTCTTGGATAGTTCTCCAGTTGCCAAGATTCTACTTTAACCACTGGGAGGGGTCATGAGAAACTACTACTGGGGCTGGGAGCCAAAATATCACAGCAACTCCATCACTGAGGCAGAGGCAGGACTACAACAAGCCATTCTGTCACTATGACTAACAAGGTTGGTGCTTGGGGAAGCATTGCTATCCACGCCTGAAGACCCGAGTTCAATCCTTGTTACTCACATAAAAAAGAGCAGCAGAAGGCAGGTGGCATACACCTTTAACTCCAGCAGTCAGGAGATGGAGGCAGGTGAGTCTCTTGAGTTCAAGGCCAGCCTGGGCTTCCACATCATACACACAGATTTTTTTTTTTTAATTTAGGGGAAAAAAAAACCCAAAAAACGGAAGGGGCTGGGAAGACACTGACCTGTTAAAGGCGAAACAGATCCCCTCCCCACCAGATGAGCACAGGACCGGACTAACTTCCAAAAGGGAAGACAAGAAGCTCAAGAAACACTTACCCAAGGGGACTTTGAGCATGGAGTACTAGGCTAAGAGAAGAGAGCCCCGACTTTTCCAGAAATGCTGAGAATAGAGCTCCAGAAGCACATCAGGATCTGCCACCTAAGGCCAAGTCTTAGGGCTGTGCTCAGAGAAAGTCTACAAGAACTACTTGCCTTCAGGTCTGCGTAAAGTTCACAACAGAGCCCGAGTGGTGGCCCAAGACAGTCATGCCTGCTTCTCAGGGGTGGAGGCAGTAGGACCACAGATTCAAGACCATCTCAGAAAAAGAGGCCGTAAGGCACGATGACGGTACATGCCTCTAATCTCAGCGCATAGGCAGGTGTGGAACAGGCAAGTCTGAGCTCAACCTTGTCCTAAGCTTAGAGTTAGAAGGAAGCCTCTGTTCATGAGCCATAGACTCAAAACAAAAATTATGCGCCTGGGGAGATAGCTCAGCAGTTAAAAAGCACTTGTCGCTCCTCCACTGGTTTCCAGTGCCCAAACTGAGCAGGTGGCTCACAACTGCATCCAATTCCAGGTCCAGAGGATCTGACATCCTCTTCTGGCCTCTGCAGGGACCTTAATACATGTGGCAGGGATGCAGATATACACAAATAAATACTTTATTAATTTCATAAACAGCCAGACATGGTGGCACACACCATTAATCCCAGCCTTTACTGTGAATTCTAGGACAGCCAGGCTTACATAGTAAGACTCAGTCTCAAACAAACAATACAAACAAACCCCTAAATATGGAAAGGTGGCCACCAACCTGCACACAGTGACTGGAGAGCCCAGCAGGGCAGCCTTCTGCTTAGAGACGGAAAAGTTTTAATTTTTGAGGCCAAATTCACTAATATTGGTCATTCTCCACTGAACTTGGTTCTTTCTCAAACGTGAATAAAGTTAAATGTTTAAGAACTAAAAACTGTCTGGTGGTAGTGACGCACACCTTTAATCCCAACACTCGGGGAGGCAGAGGCAGGTGGATCTCTGTGAGTTTGAGACCAGCCTGGTCTACAAGAGCTAGTTCCAGGACCAGCTCCAAAGCCACAGAGAAACCCTGTCTCAAAGAACAAAAACAAACAACAAACAAAAAGAACTAAAACCAAAAAACCCTAAAACCAAATGGTACAGTGCTTCAGGCCTGCAATCCCAACACTTTGTGCAAAAAGGCAGCAGGATCACGAGTTCAAGGTCATCCTCAGCTAGAGTTTAAAGCCAGCTATTTAATTCTTATTTTATTTTTAGGGCAGAATCTCACTGTATAGCCCCAGGCTGGCCCGGAACCTAGAGGTTCCCCTGCCTCTGCCCGGAGTGGCGCCACCAGCTTTTCTTTAGCTCTCTTTCACTGGGTTTTCTACTTACGAGCAATGTCAAATATCCAGCACTTTTTAAGTTTCCTTTTTTCCTTTCCAACCCTTTCTCAGTTCCATTCCTTCAACTACTCTAGAAATGACCAATTTCACCTATGGTCAGGGTCGGGCAATCTTCCCCAACTACATACTTGTCCTAGAAGAGGAAAAAGGCCCAGAAATTAAACAGAATTTTGAGTTATGGTGGTTTGAATAAATGCCCCCTGTAGGTTGATGTATTTGAATGCCCCCCAGGGAGTGGCACTACTTGAGAAGTATTACGGGGTAGGGCACTGTTGGAGGAAGAGTGTCACTGGAAATGTCCATGCTAGGCCCATATTCTGACTCTCCACACCACTGTCCTCATATTCATGACAATCCTTCTGCCTAGAGCTGGGTGACAGACCTGTGTAATGAAGGTACAGTGGTTTGTTATTGCCATACCGGTTTCTCTCTGCAGTGAACTAAATATGCTTGTTTTAGGAAAAGACTGCCCTATACCAAATACCCCTTAAACTCAAACAGGGGACAATAGATTCCCCAAGTTGTTCTCTGAGCCCCCACAGAAACTTAATAGTGAAACACACATAATTTTTTTTAATTTCAAAAATGAAAACAAAAATGATTGCAATGTATTCATAGAGGGCAAAGGGGTAGAGCTGGGTAGTATGGTTAATTCAGCATGCTGGGAGCCTTGAATTCAATCCCCAACACACAATAAAATGACAAGGCTGGGCAGGCATGGCAGAAGACACCTTTAATCCCAGCACTTGGGAGGCAGAGCCTGGAGGACAGCCAGGGCTACCTAGAGAAACCCTATCCCAGAAAAACAAAATAAACAGCAAACAAAGGACAAGGATGAGACTAAAGTTCTGTTGGTAGTGTTTGCTTAGCATGCACAAGACCCTCGGTCGGATGCCCAGCTACCCAAAAATACACAGCAGTAATGCAGACCTTTCACCCCAGAATTTGGGAGGAGAAAGGAGGTGAAGCTGGACATGGTGGCATACACCTTTAGTCCCAGAACCCAGCAGAAGCAGGTTTTGAAACTGAGTTTAAGGACAGGCTGGTCTACATAGCAAGTTCTAGGACAGTCAGAGTGATGGGTCAGCAGTAAAAATGCTCACTGCTAACAACCTGAGACCCACCTCCCACAAGCTGTTTTTCTGATTTCACACACACGTACGTTTTAAAAATTCAAAGCTAACTAGGCTCATATTCATAGCAACTGTCAGTCCTTCAGTGTGTTCAGATGGCAGGAAAGTTGAGAAAGATACCCCACCCTAGAAGAGGAAATGCCTGTGTCCTAAGTGTGGATTAAAGAGAACAATTCTGAAAAGCAATTAGACATACACTGGGGCTCTTCTCTAAGCACCAGACAGTACATGTTTATAATACGGTCCAAGTTAGGAACAAAATGAAGCAATTTTGTAGGCCACACACCAAACAAAATGCACGGAAAGGTTAAGTGTGTATTGCGTATTTTTATCAACCGTTTTTGGCTTATCTGCATCTAATTTTCGTTAAAGATGTATTACTGTACAAAGGAAAACAACCCCAATTAGTTGCTATGCAACCAATTAGAATATCCCATAGAGCTCAGAATTATATCACACTAAACAACAGATGCCAAAACTTGGGGGTGGGGGCCACAAAGAGGACAATAAAAAAGGAAGATGTGCCTAAGCAGTCTGCTTCCCCAGTGAGCTAGGTAGTAAGACAGACTGACGAGTAGTGTAAGCACACAACACACCAAGATTAGGGGAAGGAGGGAAGAGAAATTCCTTTTTTAAAAACCTCCAGTATGAGGCTATTTGGTTTTCCAACTCCGGGTAGAGAGGGTTAGCTGTCCCTGGCTGTGGGGTGAGAAGGGGCACACACAGCAGCCTGTGTGCAGGAACGGAAGCTGAGAACCTCATACCAGAGTAGGCCGCCTTCCAACTTTGGAGCACAGCAGCTGCATGACCGAGGTGTGTCTGCTACTGTGTGCCAGCGCTTTCTCACCTTATTGAAAATCCCACCAGCTCCTGTTGCAGATATGTTCTAGCACTGTGCAATTTACTCTCAGTAAAAACTCTTTCTTTCCTATTTGGGGGGATGGCAATGCTGGGGAATGAACCAATGGCCTCATACTGCGTGAGATCTCTTGGCACCATGAGTCCCCCATCGAGTTCATGGTATTTTACACAAACTAAGTTCGTAGGAGATGAGGCTGGGAGCTGAGAGAGCAAATGTCCTTGGTCCAATCCCCAGCACCCTCATCCTATGCTTGCCCATAAAATCTTTTGAATATTTTTTGGGGGGAGGGCGATGTCATTTTATGCCTCCCCCCCACTGTGAAAATACATTCTTCTACAAGAGCTGTCTTGGACTTTGAAAAAAAAATCGAATGAAGTACTTAAAAATCTCCTTTGAAGAAAGAGGCACACCCATATTTATAACTAATAGAGGTGTAGTATATGGTCCTGAATATGTTATCTTGGGCCTTATATACTTTGAAGGAAAAAGAGCCCACTACCAAGATGGGAAATACCATTTCGGAGATGTCCAAGATTCAAACAAACAACCACACAAGAACACAAGCAAACACACACACCTTACTTAGTTTTAAACACCAATATCTATTTAAATATCAAGCCTCCACTCACCCCCTTCACTTAGACCTCATTTGACTTTAAAAGTACACTCGGGCTGGAGACAAGGCTCAGAGGTTAGGAATACTGACTACTCTCCCAGGGGGCCAGGGTTCAATTCAAAGCACCCACATGGCAGCTCACAACTGTCTATAAATACAGTTCCGGGGACCCAACACCCTTACACTGGCAAAACACTAATGCATATGGAAATAATTTTTAAAAAAAAAACACACATTGAGCAGGGAGGAACCTGGGATCTTTTTTGCACCCCACATGACAAGTTTGTAGGGTCGCAAGGGCCAACCTTACTCCCTAGCACAGGTTCTAGGACATTACCTGGTTTTGTTTTTTGAGACAAGGTTGACCTCATATTTACTGAGATCTCCCTGCTTCTGTCTCCTGAGTGCTGGGATCAAGAGATGTGTGCCATCACACTCAAGAGAGATGAGCTCATATAAAAGGCGCCATCTCTGAACTTCTCACTTTTAACCCTTATGACACCCGGAAAAAGCCTTTTCAGAGCCCCCAAACTACAGCATTACTGGATGCGATAGGACCAGCTCTCAGGAGGCTGAGGCAGGGGGATGAAAACTTAGAAGAGAGCCTGACTTTAGGAAAAAAATAAAATAAAAATCACAAAAATATCTACAGCATCTTCCCCTTCAAACCCTTCAGCTTGAGGTCAAAGTTCTTCCAAGTAAGAATTGGCCAATGGTCCGGCTTTCCCTAGGGAGATTCCCCTTCACACCTCCACAATCTTGGCGCTTTCATAAGGCCCCTCTAACCTAAGTTAGCGTGGCCCACGACTCTGAGGCCCATAAGGCCCATGTTTCGTTTACACCGTTTCTCAGGCCCTGCCCTACTGTAGGTAAATATGCAATAACTCAATGATCCTGGAGACCAAGGATGTCCAGTGTGGCACCAACCAACCACTTGTTGCTTTTGGGCGCTTTAAACGTGTAGTCACAGACACACTTTTACAGTTTAATGGCAAGACGGTTTCAGTTGAAAATGGGTCTTTTACCAAAATTTAGTTATTTCCCACTCTGTTGATTTTTGTGGCTCGCCTGGACTCAAAGTATTAACTCATCTCTGCAAGTTGAAGGAAGAAGATGGTTTAACAACTCAATCTCCCAGCACGTGGTGGGCACAAAATGTCTGACTGAGAGCTGGAAGGGACACGTGCCGGTGAGATCCTCAAGGCCCCGGGAACAGGGACACCACCCAATCAGTCCTCAGGGACCGCCCCGCACCT